CGGAGCTACCGAGCACTACCGAGGCCGCTGTGGACGCTGGACTCGTCGATCCCCCGCTACCTATGATCGCGCTCTTCCTCTACGCTCTCTTCATCGTCGTCGCTTCCACCGGACGCGACTCTCCCGGAGCTACCGAGCACTACCGAGGCCGCTGTCGACGCTGGACTCGTCGATCCCCCGCTACCTATGGCCGCGCTCTTCCTCTAAGCTCTCTTCATCGTCGTCGCTTCCACCGGACACGACTGCGTGGGGCTCACGGCGCCCGGCAGGCGCCTTGACGGTGCTCCCGGAGCTGCCGACCACTACCTAAGCTGATGTCGAACTTATTACCGGTGAACCCACCCCCCGTGGCCAACCCCAAGCCGTTGAGCGCTTGTCACTGAAGCCCTCTGCTCCTGTCGTCGTCTTTCAGCTTCCAGTCCCTCCGATCGCGAACCAACGCACTTCAGACCGCAGTCGCTCCCGGCGCTGGTAATCGCCGTCACGGTACCCCGGATCTGCCAAGGTCATTGCAGACACTGGTCTCATCGATCCTGCTACTGTCCGTTTATCCACCGTGGTCTTCGCCGTCATTCAATCTTCCACGACCGGTCACGATTGCATTGGGCTCACGGTGCCCTATGACGCTTCAACGGTACTTCAAGTCTACCGGGCTCTACCGAGGCCGTTGTGCATGCCGGTCCTATCCATCATGCCGTTACGAGCTTGCCTCACGGTATCGAGCTGTGTACCAGCTGAAGCCTTGCGCTCCTCTTGTCGCTCCCATTCAAACCCCTGTGACTGGAGTTGAGTTCGCTGCGGACTGCACTCTCTCGGCGGCTGGCGATCGATCCCGTCCTTCTTACGTTTTTGTTTCGTGTGTTGTCTCTACCCATCGTGTATCTTAGATCATGTTTTTCTCTCATGGTTCCAGTTATCACGAACGGCGGTATCTCATTTCACACGGGAACGTCTAAGCAAGCTAGCCCAAGGTCTTCCGTATTGCACCATCGATGTGCCGTGTGGTTTGTAGAGATCCCAGTATTCTTCCCCGTAGTTTGGTAAGAGTTGTCCCAGCGCGTGTCTGTCAACCCGCACCTTCACTGATGCACTGGCGGAGATGAAGACAGCTGCCCGTGTTCATCGCGTTGCATGCGGTCTCGTGCGGAATAAGCGTAACCCGAGGCCGGCATCCTATGTCCTCCGTAGAATGAACTCGCCTTCGTTTACGTCCGGGATGCTATGGCTATGCACCTCAACGAACTCGGACGCGCATGATGGACGGTCTACCGTCCACGATGATGCTTGGGGTTGAAATTCATCCGGAGTATCTTGTACCGGTTGGAGTTGGATCTGCCCAGACTTCCCCAGTCAGACGCAAGGTGGCGGCATGGGAAGACGGCTTTAAGCTAGGGAACAAGTTGTGACGCCCGTTTCTCTACACCACCACCATGTCCGTCGACAGCGATCTTGTCCGGTATGCGATGTGTTGAACCAAGAAACCCGTCGCTAATCCATTTTGCAGTGCCCTGCGGGACGAAGCCTTTCGCTGCGGGGATATCTTCGAATGGCTGGGAACCTCCGGCTGGTCGAGGCGTAAGGAGGGCGCGTTGAATGCGATCCCAACGCTGGCCTCTACTTCCAGCAGACTTTTGCGTCTCGCGAGCACTACAAACCAGCTTCTAAACGCGTTGCAGTGAGTGTTCATTGCTTGCATCAACGCCTTATCTGACGAGAAGTAGATCATATATCTTTAGCTTACCAGATGACGTTCTCGTACTCATCTTTCGCAACACCGCCTGGATTGATCCTCCTGAAAATGGGTGTCGTGGGGTAACAGCCGCATTGGGATGGATGGCTTTGCCACGCGTCTGCGTGCGATGGAGGGACCTCGTGGAAGGGGATCAGGTTATCTGGGCTCAGGCATACTCGCAAGTCCCAAGCCAGCGAGAACTCTTTCTGCGCAGGGCAGGAGATGCCTTGACTACTTTCGAGATATCGCCGCAGGTCCCTCGACTGCACAGCGCTATCATATTTGCAAGCCCAGCACTGCACCGATTTCTTCTTGACTCTGACTTGTCTAACTGTCGAGCCATCGTTCTTCAGGACTGCAGGGATTTGGTCACATACCTTTATCACGTCTTCAACATGATCGGTGATGGTCGCGTGCCTGTCCTGGCGGAGCTGCGCGTAGGCGCTGGACACTCTACAGAGCATAGGCTAGTACGGTTCTGCAGGTGTGTGACGCTGATACAATGCACGTCTAACCTTCGGTCTTATTGACGGAACATCAGAAAGTCGACGGGACGTCAGAGGATCATAGTCAATCTACCGAAACTCAAGAGCTTGGTCCTTGACAACATATTCTTCGCAATTGTCGCAGAGGGCCTAGAAACTCTGCGGCTTAGGCGTGTACACTGCTCAGCCATCAGCGCAGTACCAAGACTGCGAACAGTGGTCCGTTCGCTCATACGCCCTCACGCCCATACGCTGCGCCATCTCGAACTTTCACGAGCATTCAAGTTGGATAACGTCGCAGAAACACCGGACTCTGTGGCCTTGCCCATGTTGCGCACTCTCCGCATACATGGGAGTCTTCTCTGCGTGCTTGCGGTGCTGAGCGTCCTCCAAGTTCCACGTGGCGTGCAAAGAGATCTTACAGTAGATCTGGGTGCTCTTCACGCGGCCCCCTCGACTGTGCAAGATGCTTGGGGAGCACTGGCGGGCTCGTTCGGTATGTGTTTTTGAACGGTTTTGAACGGTTGAGAGTGTCGTGTTAATGAAACTCTATAGACAGCAGCGCATCAAACGCGGTGTATATCTGCTATCGCGAGTCTGGACAAAGGTTGAAAGATGAACGAAATGTGCACGTACTCGGGGAAGCCCTCGATATCGAACTCTATACTGAGAACGCTGCATTCAAGTCCAGAGTTCGGGGTGTTACACATCCCGCGGTGTCGAGCTTGATCCTTCGCCTCCGGTGGGCTTTGAACGGCGAGTTCACATGGTGGTCCCTGCTCGGGCTGGTGGCACAGGCGATCGCTCGCGATGCTACTGTCACTGCGGTATTCCTTGACATGCCGAAGCACTACTGGTATCCGCAGCAGGCAATGCCCTGGGTAAAAGCGGCCGAAAAGGTTGTAGATGCATTTCCGGATCTCACCAATATCGGTCCGCGAGGGAAAGTCCTGGCTGCCATAGAGGAGCACCTGTGGAAAGAACATCGGATTTACATACGCATTGCTTGTCTGGACTCTATATAACAAAGAGTTGGTATCGCGTGTACTTATGCATCATAGATAGAAGATGGCGCGGATATGTGTTTGGTGTTGCTGTGCAAGATGCCCGATGCGGGGGCTCTACTCGACGGTTGGGTGGTTCCGCCTTTCGCAACGTCTTCTTCGACGAGTCATCACAGTCGCCGCAGTCGCGTTCGGGCAAGAGTACTTACCCGGTGCGAGCTAGTGTGAGTATACGAGATTTGATGACTGAACATCAGAGCGAGTACCGCTCATGGTGCTACAAGGCGGGGGCGCAAGAATCCATGCAGTAGTCTAAGGGCGTAGGACTACAGCATCGTGGGCGGTGCGCGACCCATTCAAGGTCCCGGCAACGCTCACGTCATAGTCTTGGTCGACGGCATAATCCAGTACGCTGTCAGTCGGCTTCGAACGGACTTGGCTATTGGCTTTGCGTTCGAGCTGCTGCCGCTAGCTTCCGGCGCTTCGCGACTCTCATAGGGCGCTACAGAACAGACTGCTGTCGTTGGCGTTGGAGAGACTGGTGCGTCTCGATACACGGCCAGTGTAGACCGAGATCAGGGGTTGTAGATGTGGCCAAGCGTGCCCTTGCAAGATGGGCGCGCTTTGCGCGGCCTCTCCAACGTATGGTCGTGGAATCTGCTGAGGGTAGCCGGCTGCGCTGACGCTCGGAGCTCACGCGGCTAGATAGGTGGCACTTGGGCGCTAGGAAGCGGGTAAGCCGCCAGGCAGGGCGCGACTCGCTCTATGGCGGCTGTTGCGCGCATACCCGGGATTGACACCGATGCATCCTCATCTCGCGGTCATATTCGCGTGAATGTTGCGGAGCCTCGCATGACCAGCCCGGCGCGAGGGCTCGCTTCGGTCGCAGCCACGATCCCCGAGGCTAGCCTCATGTGACGCGCGTCGCGCGCCACGCTCTTCTTCGCGCACCTTCCCCAATCTTTCAGGGACCACCACCACCATATTCCTTCCACTCGATACCGAAATTTATCATTTCTATACGAATGTCCTGCCAAGTCGACACCGCCGATTCTCCACAGTAAACGTACCCATAGATCCAACTCGGTCTCACTGCATGACCTCTACATCACCATGTATGCTAATATTCTTCCGGAAGAGTCAAAAATTCTGCTCATTACCGCCAATGGCGCACGGGAGAGGCTCGGCACGCGTCATGCTCGCGGACCAGGTCACCGTTCGCAACATCGCGGCCGCCCTGAACTCCGTAGACCGGCCTTCCTCGAGGGAAGTCCAACATGTTCTAGGTTCGTACGGGAGACAGGTTCTTCATCAAAGACGAAGACCTCCAGGCCGTGGGTGGGGACGACGGCGCAGGTGAAGGATGCGCACTCGACGAAGGCGTATCAGGCCGGAACATGGGCGACGAAGGGTGCGCGCATCACCTTGGTATACTCCCTTACCACCAGAACTGGCATCGCACAGGTTCTATAAGTGCCACATGGAGAGCATATGCTCAGATCCTCAAGAGTACACCCCCGTCGAAGCAGTGCACCCGCTGTATATTCCTAGAGACATCTCCACTGAACAGATCGCTGCGATACCGCTTGGGTTGGCTACGTCCGTGCTCGGCATTTACCAAAGGACACCATAAACAATGGCTTCGACATCGGAGGTGCAGGCATCTCCCAGTCGAGGGCTCAGAGAGTGATGGGCAAGTACGCTGGGCAGGCTGCAGTCGTCATTGATAGCGAGAGCTCAGTTAGACAGTCCGGTACGATTATGTACCCAAATCGTTTACGAGTATTGACGCGATGCGCAGCTAGGGTTCATTCAAGGCATGGGACTGCAATTCGCTCATCGCGACCGCATCCGCGCGCAGCGAGGACCACTGTTAAGGTCGAGAGAGCATGCCGTATGGCATGGCCTCGTAGTATTGCATACCGCGGATAGGACCAGTCAATTGGAGTCTGTCTCCGGAACGATCTCTCCGATAAAGACTGGGTGCGCCACGGCGGGAGTTGTGCCTCGCTCACGCCTCCTTTCGCCTTGGGGGTCCTCCCCAGAACCCTTGAATTGCAGAGTCACTCTACCCGCCTGGCAGCAATCCGTCGTCATCCCGCGCAGAATCGACACCATTCGCAGGCTATCAATATGAGGCTACAGACCCTGAAGGGTTCGCTGCCGCCCACTGAGGACGTGAGAGGACTACGGGTATGCGAAATTGGGATGCTGGCAGGTACCTACTGGAGGGTTGCGGCTTAGGCTGCGTGGTAACGTCGGCACTCTATTCGGACCATTCGTCGCTCCCACGAACGCTGGCTGTCTCTTGTATGGCTTCACGCCACTTCCCCCTCATAGGCCTTATGCCGACCATCGCCCTTACTTCGGACACATACCTTTTTCCAAACTTTCGGTGGAGCTGTCTGGATCCACCGCGAGTCCCACTTTCTGCGGACGCTCTTGCTCAATCCCCGTCTATCGGACCAGCTCGCGTTCTTGTAGGTACAGCCGTGTACATTGTAATCCTAGTCAATGGCCGGCGCCTTATATCTATGGTTTTATGGCCCTTCGGGCGGCGCTTCATAGGTGTTGTTGATGAGAACTCAAGAAAGGACAGCCCGGATGATGGGAACCAGTCCGAAAGAGCTACCAAACCATTAAGGAAACATTAGTCATGATTTATAATAGATAAGCGACCTATCAGGAAATCGGATGCTCATTGAGGCCGATATCGGGCTTTATCTCAACGACGACCTCCACCCTTGTTCTTCATCTCGTTCGCCCATACAACTTTCTCAGTCGGTCTGGATACTCTGGTAGGTCTGTATCAGTGCACCGCTCGTTCTACATGGGTGTCACTCACCGCTTTCCCTCCGTTGGCGTTCTCGTGTCCACGGCCTTTCCCGCCCTAATCGCCAACACTTCTAGGACATCGACGAAATCCAGTGCTAGACGGTCCCAGACCTCCACCTCGCCCTCGCGCTTATTCTCGCCAATATCCCAGCCCCACGCGAGCAAGGCGACGACAAGGAGTCGCACACCGTCAGGTCCGGCGGGCAGATATCCATCCCATCCCATCGTGTCTTTGGCACTGAGCATTAGTATCCCTCTGTCTCCGCGACGTTCACCCGGCTGCTGTGCAGCCCACTGGAGCGGCAAGCACTCGTCCACATCATGATCCAGCTGAGTCTTGGCCCGGATCTCCTGGGGAGAAGCTCGTTTGTTCCACGTCATCCTCGACTGTTTGCCAACGAGTTCTGCGATGTATGCCGGTTTGGGCCCAGTACCACCGACCTCCCCGACCTCCTTCAATGTGAGGACGCCTTCCTTCTGCGAGATTTCAGTGGGTCGATCGTCGTACGTACTGAAGACAAACATACGGCGTTACTGAGCTCGAATTCAAGGTACCTCTGCACCACTCGGCAGCCGAGATCTACATTCACTCCGCCGTGCAGCCTCTTGGGAGCATTGACAAGGTAGTTCGTCATACGCGCCCTTGCAAACCAGAACTTGCGCTTTTCCAGGATGGCACCCAACTCCTCGCAAACCCTCTCGTGGTGCTATAGAAGCGCAATGTGAGCATCATGCCGCTGTGTGCTGATCGTATTCACTTACCCGTATGATTATAGGGCGCAAGGCAATCGCAGCTTGAGACGCAGTCGGCTTCTCTACTATAGCGTCGATCATCTCGGTGTCAGATGAGGCAGTACGCCCGCCGATCCTCGTATGCGTCTTCGGCAGCGCGTCGGTCGATTGCGCTTGGGCCACTTCGCTAACCTCGTCAACGGAGTCGATTTCATATTCCTCGTAGTCGTCATCGTCGTCAGTATCTGTCCCGTCCAGCTCGTCCACAATCATGGGGACGTCGCAGCCATCGTCCGACGCTTGCTCCTCGGCCGGTTCGCCATCCTTCGCATGGCCCCACTTGTACTCTACAAGTCCGTGAGACTTGCGTGCCCATGTTAAGTTTGGATGCTACTTACCGTTGAGAGTTATAGATTGGGTCTGGATCTGCGCAGCGGTGCTCCAGAACGGCATCGGCCTCACCTCGCTGTAGGGCATGGTCGTCCGCCCAGGTATATCGAACACAGCTTCAGCGCTACGGACTTTGTATTGAGTGCGTTACTGTGTATCTGATCTGTATAACGCTCACTGATGAACGTCTCTCGGGCCTGCCGTGAACCAAACACACACGCCCGAACACTTTTGTGCGACGTAACCCGCCATCATAGAGAGCACCGCATTCACCTCCATCGCAAACCTTGTTCACAGTCAAGACGGTACGCATGGCAAAGTGATGATGACGTACTCTTCGGCATCATCTGCGCTGGCGTGCTCTTCAAGTAGTTTACTCCGCCATTCCGCAAGGTCTGCCTGGTACAGCATTTCGCGTTTGCTCTCAATCTTGCGACGCACATTTTGACCCAACGCTTCGAGATGTTCCATCGCCACATACTCCATTACCCTTTCACGGTAAACGAGGGGCACCTTGGTCACCGATGCAATACCCATCGCACTACCCATGAGGTCGTGGACCCGTGCCTGCATAGCCTCTGTCCAAAGCCCCGCATCCCTCAGAAGCCCATTGACGTCGCGGCGACTTGGCGGGCTTAATAGGCTCCTGAACCAGCCGAGCACGTCGAATCGGCTTACTTCGTTGGGCCAACCCCCGCTTCCCAAAATGGTCGTGTAGTCATCCATGGCGCAGAAGTAGATGGTGGCGGAAAGAACGAGGAGTCCGGTGTCCTCCGCGGCCGCTTTATCCCTTCCGACGCCCGGTACACCTTTCTCCGTGTCTTGGGCCGGCTCGGCGTGTCATCTCGGCTATACATCACTCCCAACTCGCGTCAACCTCCTGTGGAGAAATGGTCGCCTGTACATCTCAAAGTACTATAGTTATAACTGCACTCATTCTCTCATCCGCGTGCAAATATATCATGTGATCGCGTTACTATCGTCAGCGCGCTTTACGCCCCAGATCTCTCGCTTCCACAGAGTAGATGCCCGGCTTTTTGAACGTCAAGCACGCGTGCACATCTGAAATGAGCTCAAAGTCTAGGTGGGCTACTACAATCTGGTCGTGCAATGAAAAGTCAGCCGCGCCATGATGAGGAAGTAGGCGGGTCATAGGGAAAGCCGCGACTGGCATCCCAAGAAACAACGGCAAGGCATGCCAATGGATGCACGTCTCTCATGAGGCTCGGGGTTCAGATCGTTCAGACCCCTGGCCTAGTAGTAACCCGTCATGATGGACTCGCACGCATCTATATGGCAGTGATGAACGCCAATTGTTGAACGCGTCGCATAGCCTACGGCGAGCGACCCATCCACCTAAGACAGTTTCGTGCAGGCCTGGGTGCAGTATGAAAGCCCACAAGGCCCAATTTTCAAGCCAGGTGCCTCCAAATCAATTGAAGATGGCCGACAAGTTTGTGTCCTCGTCGTGCGTCCAGTGAGCGATGTCGCGTGGACGCCGCGTCTCCTTTCAAGTCACGCGGCACCCAATTCGACTTGGATAGAATACATTGCATCGCCCACTTGCACACTGTCCTAGCGATAAGTCGTATGAGAGGGGTATTGACGAGCGTGCCAACGAGAGCACGAATAGAGTCTTCCCGCAGCTGAGCGGATAATAGAAGAGACGCCGAAGATCGGCTTCTCGACAGCGCTGGTCTCACGCACTACGCAGCTCCATACCGTTACTGTCGGTGCCTCCAAGCCAAAGTGTCTGATGCGCTGACAGACATGCCACTGCGCAGTAACGATTCTGAATATCAAAAATCGCATTGTTTGACCGAGCAGGAGTCCGCAAAGTATTTACAAAGTCCTGGAGATTCGAGTAGTATGTGCCAGCGCTACAAACGGCAGAATGAGCCGACAACCGAGCATCAGCTGCGGCTCCGGCAAACAGCAGCCGCGGCTGGGCGTGTCGAGGTCGGCGGTAGCGTGCGAGCGGCAGCGAGCCAAAGGATCAGCTTGGCCAAAAGGGGGTTGAGAGGGTGGTTTGCGGGTATTGCGCCGTCACTGCGTCTACGGGTCTTCGTGTGCTCAGCATCGAGCTGACGGTGCGTTGGCTAGGTGCAGTGATCCCCTTCGCAAACACGCTGTGTAGCCATCGGTCGCTCTGGAGAGTCTGTCAGCAATTTAGGCCCACGGATGACGCGCGGTATTGAGTGAAGAACTAAATCGCGTGGCAGTTGTTATTGACATAGCATACGTAGGAGGGCGTGGAATGCATGGGACGGGAGGTGCGAGGGTATAGGAAACGGGCAACGCACCGACGCGCAAGTTCCGCATGCGTACCGCTCAGTTGGGAGAATGCATTCCCAGATTAGATTTGAAAAGAGGTTCTGTATGGTGCATTGAGAGAAGATGCCTCTCAAGGGCGAATGTTTTCCATGAGCGAGTGCTTCTGCTGGCTATCCAGCAAAGCAGATGTGCCACATAGGCGTTGGGCAACCTGGGACAGACGGTCGAGAGAAGCAGAAGGAAGCGAAGAGTAAGGTTGGCACAAGCCGGGAGTGGCATAGCATACGAAGTTCCGTCGGCTGCGCGGTCCGCCAAAGCCGGTCGGCGGCCATTGCTGGCAGGTCTGCAATGGTCGCGGATGTCGACGTTCAACGACCAACAGTCAACTTCAACCAGGATAGCTCGATGGTCTAACTCTATCACTCGATTTCTGCGCCTGACGTATGCTATCATCCTGTCTCAGCCGTTCTCTCGGCGAGAGTTGCGTTCCTTAGTCGAGACGGTCGACAAGCTCATGCTGAAGACGTTGTCGGTCAGCAGTGACTACTACCACTTCAGAGGTCTCGTATTGTCTCATGGTATTTCGATACCCGGGGGTCGATTGTTTGTCCCGGCTGCCTTCCGGGTCCTCTTATCAATACCCGTGCATCGCCAGTGGAGCCGATAATACCCACATTTGCAGTGTCCATTATTTGACCAGAAGTTCGGGTCACGCAGAGCAAGGCTGCACAGAAGATAACAAACTGTCTACGCAAGAGGCATTATATGAGCAAGTCGTGTACGAAAATCTAGCCCTCTCCGGCGAAGTGGAACTTCTTGCGGCCTTTGGCACTCATCAGGGACGTGTGTGCTGCTCTCCCCGATGGGACAATGTAGTTGCTGACGCTCATCATGTAGGACAAGGACACGATGTGCATCCAGCTGTATTGAGGCGACTCTGACTCGTACAATATCAAGCGATACACCAGCGCCTAGCTCCTCAGCTACGTCTCCGCCGCCTTGATTCGCAACGGTCCCTTACTCACCGGTGTGGCGATTGCGTGGATCTCACGTACACCGTTCGAAGCGCGTATGGCAAATGGCTCTCGGCATGAAGCCCTTGATTCAGGAGACGGCCCGGGGTACGTCGTCCTGCGAGCGCGTATTCGCACGGGTTTGCAGCTATACCAGGATCGACCGCAGGCCGCCGTTAAGGGGGTAAGTTACGCGTTCACCGGCATCATGGGCTTTAGCGCCCAAACACGCGTGCCCGATGCTGACGACGATCACACACAGGCAGTCGAGGTCCGGCTCGGTCCCGCAGGCGCAAAGGCAAAGTACGTTCGCGTCGAGCTCAGGAAGATCGAGACACTCCCCGCCCCACCCCCAAACTCGTTCTACTCCATCGTCGGCAGCGAGAACCCGGCCGTGCTCTGGCAGGCCAGCGAGGAGTGGGGCGTCCTCCAGAGCGTGAGTCGCCTCCGATGTACCTGGTGGGATATATCTGACGGTTCTCCAGCAAGATATACCATTTACTATTCGTATACCCGAGGCTATCCCTCTCAGCTTGTCCCTCGAGAAGAATGGTACGTCGCGTATTATTTATGGCTATTGAATCACACTGACTCGCAAATAGCTGGTATCAAATATAAGCTTGTCGGTCAAGTCTGTATACAGGGCAAGGCGTGCGTCCCGCATTTCCTTCATCTCAACGCAATGTGCTGATAATGATGTACAGGAGCTTCCTTCGACGAAGCAAGCCGGTGGTCATCTCCACCACTCAGGCCATCATCATCGACAAGCACGAGTTCCACTCGACCTGGCAATGCTACCAGAAACACGAGTCGCGCTAGTTAATGCACGACTCTGTCCTCCTCAATGTCGAGCGCAACCAGAACTGCTACGGCCCGGGCGACCGCGTCTTTGTCACCGCCACAATCCGTTCCGAGGCGCTACACACCGTCATCCTCCGTGAATTCGAGTTCACGCTCAAGGAGACGACGGTCTCCAACGTCGGCGTACAGGGCGGGCACCACAAGAAGGGACAGCCCCAAGTGAAGATCAACATCATTGGCGAGCAGAAGATCCCCGTCAATGCAACGCTGTACGGCGGCATGCACCATCGAACGGAGCTCTCTGTGCCTATTCCCGACTCGCACACAACTACGACGCTCAACTCGGCGAAGCATGTCGATGTCACGTACGTGCTTTTCGTCAAGGCGCTCATGGGCACGGGGAAGCCGCTTATTATGGAATTGCCCGTGATCTTTCCGAATTAGCCAAGGTTCGTGAACTTTGCTGCTTTTGCGCGGGATCATGCTCACGCTTTACCGCACAGGGTTGTGTCTCAAAAAGCCATATGGTACGTCGGGCGTTGCAGAAGTGACACTGGTGAATGGGACTGAATAACCATTACAGGCGTGTCGGATTTGCTCCTAGCCTCAGCGGAATCCAGACAAAACCCGAGCAACCCACATTTTCGCCCAGCCGCGGCGATGGCTCTGCGTCCAGTAATGGACAGAGTGGGACTGACGAGTTCGGCTCTAACACGAGCCCGCGACTCCGCGTTCCCGCCACTGCCCCTGCTCGCGGCTTTGGGGCTTCAGACCTTAGGCAGCGTGATAGCGAGTTCAGCGCGCAATCACACTCTGTTATCCTGGCGGGTAGAAATGGCCGTGCGTTCTCTATTGCCAATGCTATGGATGGGGAGATTCCTGAGGAAGAAGAGGATCGTCAGCTTCAGATCTCGCCGCCGAGAGGTCCGAATTGGCTTAGTCCGGAGGATGGGAAAACGAACTTCTACGGACGCGCGAAGGCGAAGGTCGATCGGGTTCAGTGCAGCATTCACAAACCAGATACTGCCGATAGCGCGAAGGTGCGTGATTTACCCAATAATACCGTGATACAGGTAACTGATGTTTGCGCAGTCGAAATAAGCACACGACGCAGTCGCTGAATGGCAAGTCTCCAGCATCTACCCCTGCTTATCCCGGCTTGGCTGTCAGCCGAGGAACGGAGGAGCCGGAAGGACAAGGTTGCTCGAGCAGGTCAAGACCAAAGGCGGAGCAGGTCAAGGGTCTCGCTTCGACCCCCGCTTCGCAGCAGTCCAACAACCGTAGCCACGGGTGTGGCAGCTCCAAAGATAGCAATGGATCGTTCAGCAAATCTAGCAGTCAAACTGCTGTTTCAGCAGGCGCGGCCCTCTACGCCTCTGCGCTCAACGAACAAGGCGGCAAAGTCGAGCTTGCCCGCGGCATGTACGCCGACGCGCCGCGACGGGCGTGCCTTTCCCAAGCCAGGCGCAGCTATCGCGGGTAGCTCCTCGCCGCGACAACGCTTCAAGCTTCATGTCTGCCGAAGAGGATAAGGTCATGCTGCGCTGTTACGAGCAGGCTACTTCCGCCGTGCAGCGGCACCAAGAGTCGCACTGTGGGCCGTCGTCCGACGCTAGCGCGGCTGCGCCGCTTGGGAACGGAAGTACTGTCGCGGGTAGTTCTTCTGCGCATGGCGCTTGCTCTATTCCACCTTCTGTAGCAGTTTCTGTACCAGTTTCCCCACCTGGGCGACGCACCTCCGGCCTGGGCTTCAGGAGGGGAGTTTGACGGATCAGTTCCGGAGAAGGAGCGCTACAGCATCTCCAGCCACACCGCGTTCTGCCGCCTCATCCTCCCAGGCCGTGGTATGCACCTCTGCAATGAGACAGCAAGAATCATCTTACATTTCGACGAGATCATTGCTATCGAGCCTCGCTGTGTCCGGGTGCGGCTCTTCGACCAGTCGTGGATCAAGGCCGATAAAGGGCGTGATCCTCGCATATCTCGGCTAGCGCAATAGCCTCAATGCTGCGTCGCTATTGCCATTTAAGATCTGTGACATTAGTGTTGGCCAAGAGAGCGCAGCGTCGTCACTTCACCGTTGGCAGACGGCAGACTCGTCAAAGGAGCATGGAGGCACAGAGCTAGGTAACTGCTCTCAGAACGCAGACGAACAACTTGCACAGGGACGCAAGTCAGAAGGCGACTAGTGTGTGCCTTTACCTTCTAGTATTCACTGCCTGTTTGAACAATATTCTCCAGCCGCGAACTGCGAGCAACGTGTAGTCAGCAGCGAGCTTGCCTGGCGAGACAACGAATGTCCCGCTTCGTTTGCAGCACACTTACGTCCCAAGCTAAGACGTCAAGGACGACCCACCCCCGTCGGAGAGGGCCAAAGGACTCCGTGAGGAGGGAATGCCTCGGGCCGACTGCCCTGGGGCGACGATCATGGCTACAACGCGTCCTTCGGGCGCGTTGATGACTAAGCTACACGTGCTCCCTCGCCCTCTTGCCCTCCTCGCTCTATACTCCCTCGTGCCGTACTCCGCCGTACGTCTACGTCTTCAGGAAGGCTGTCATCTGCACCCTCGTTCGGCCTTCGCTTCCGCCTCGAACCTGCGCGTGCGGGTGGTCGCATACCTCTAGGTGTAAAGCATGTTCAAGATATCCTGCACATTGCTGTCTCGTCCTGCAGATAGGCGTGAGCACTCGGCGTCACTATCTCGCAATGAATGCCTGCTGAAGGACCTCTAGGTGCTCAGCCAGGTCACGACGCAGGCTGTGGAGCGACAGGACGCCTTCACCGTTCACCGGTCACCATTGGTTGGACGGATCAGTACAGGTCTTTACCCGAGCTCGGACCAAAGACTATCCGAACAACCTTCCACATTCACGCTCAGCCTCATCTCGCTATCCGCTCCTGAATGAGGCTTCGAATGGGGATGCATGAATAGACAAACTGTTGCCCAGGTCGCAGAGTTTCGACTCAAATACGCATGAGCGCGTTCAGCTATCGCCCTACCCTGAACGGCGGCGCGCCCAGGGCACCATCTTGAGTGCGTCACAGACCTGGGCTGAGTCAAAGCAGAACTCGGTGGCTTTCGCCCTGGCAGCTATGCGCGATGGCGCAATGAACATGGCAGTAAACAGGACGGCACCGGATGATCAATGAAGTCTCAGGCAAATGCGATGTCCGCGCGTCAAAGAGAGCTAGTAAATCGGTCGAGTTATTGTGATGAGAACAAGCGCATATAGAATCACTCTTGAATAGCATTCGGACCCCCCTCTTTGTACTAATCAATCAGCGAGCTTCGCTCGCCTCCTCACACGCTTAGTACCTTTTCTCACAGAAACCCTACACTGCGGGCAAGCGAGTCAGCCTGAGCCGGCGCGACCCTATTGCCTACTATACAATACATCTATATACGCTGCCCTAATGATTACGTTGGTTGACAAGTGTATGGAAGTACTCTTCAAGCTCTGTGTCCGAAACTCTTCTGAAACCGTACAGCTATGAGACAACGAACCGCGACGTCGGACACGCAAGTCGCGTGACCGCGGCGCGAGAAGGGGAAAACGCTTCGCGCTTTCTCGGCCTTGTCCTGTCTCCCTCACGTCATTCGCTGCCGCCCGCATGTATGACATGCACGGTGGGCGGTATTCTGGCCTATCTGCGCTGTCACCCAGTCTAAGGCTCAAGCAAACTCTCAACACCGTCCTGGAGGTGGAAACTTGGCGGTTCTCGATGTACGATCTCTGGAGGACTGGCAAACATGTCGTCACCGCTGGTGCGCCGACGGTTGCCTTTCGCCAAACCGAGCTAAGAGAGACTTATATAAGGTGTGCTCAGTACGACTACTGTGAGTCATTGTGCTGATTGTCCGATAAGAACGCATTGCAGCAGACTCTGGTGTTGCGCAGAGCGTACGGTTTGTCCTCTTGCCGTTGCATTCTCGTGGATAAATGACAGCTCCTTTGTCGCTATCTCAATGCGAGCAACTGGCTTAAACCTCATCGTCGTGTAAATGGATGGATATACGCCCGCGCCTTGTGTGTAAATATGAATGCGCCGGCCGGGCTTTTTCCGAACACCGCGCCATCTGGCATCGAGGCATTCATCTCCTTCGCCGGGTCTGTGGGGAAGGTATGCTTCATCTTACACTGCCTTGCATACTCGATACTCAACGCGATGCAGCCTGTCGAGCGGCGCCTCGACCTCAAGGCTCTTGATGCAGACTACCGACGGTGTTTGTTCATCGGGAAGAATTCACTCGACAGTACCCGTGCGTGGATGCCTCGCTCAGACGACGCCCCGGAGCTATAGAAACTGGTTGTCTTCTGCGCCGGTGCTCGAGTAGCTTCGCACCTCGAAACGAGTGTACGGGCACTACTGTACGTGCAGACACTGTGCTGTGGCTTCCATGCAAGACTAATCGAGGCCGGTGCTCACGCATCTTCACGACTGGATTGAGGACCGAGACGAATGACATACACTACGATACACACCGGCCGCCGCAGCCGAAGGCCCGGATGAAATGGGCGGCTTGCTCTTCGTACAGGAGTATCAGCCACCGCTTCTCCTTCACCGCTCACTCCGCATCAGAAGCACGTTTTACGCGCGCGTTATTTGGTGTCATCCCTACCGCTCGCTTCCGTTGCATACACTACACCATCGCTTCGCACAGTTGATATCTATGATGCGCATTGTCGCGACAGTTCTTTCACAGCACTGGTTGGAAGAATCTATTTGACAGTTCGACCTCCCTGTGTACGATGTGACCTTTCGTAGACTTCAACAGGCTGCCATCGGAGTATCGGGGTCATGTACGATCCTCAATGTACAGCATATGCGGCTTTCAAAGTACGATGAGCGCTCACTCCCCGAGTTATCGCGGGCGCATACATATAATGCTGAAAACTGTCGCGTGGGGCTCTGATGTTTCACCGGACCTGTTTGGACGTCGGTGGCCGGCCGCAAGCTTCGTGCCTTCAAAACGTAGTTTCAAGACGAGCTTTCTTAACTTATACTGACGCTCGTCTAAACACTCGTTGTTGGTAGCTTGGCCATCGCAAGACTCAAGATGAATCACTACAGTCGTGGAAAGGATCAGCAATCACAACACCGGTGATATGGCATTCTCATCAACAATGTGTTCGCGGTGAGTTGTGCGGCTGAAGAATTGAGCGGCGCCCCTTCATAAGTAAAAGCTTGGCCTGCGTTGGATTGTCACCCTTCCCATCCCACCGCCATTCGCACCTCGCTGCTCAATCTGCCCTTGTCCAGTGTCTCGATGTCTTCGCATACCTTCTCGCATCGACAAGACTTCTCGCACCGACCAGGCTTCTACAAAACCATCCCGTGCAGAGTGAGTCTGTTTCTCCCCTTCGCATGACCGCTCATCGTGAGCGTATTCACTAGCATTTTGACTTCGAGACGGGGCGGGAGTTGTATGCACAATGCAAAATGGGGCGTCAATGCGGGTAAGAACACTCAAGTTCCTCTGCTTTGGTGTCTCACAAAGCGCCGCACAGATACATTCACCCTAGCGATCCCCAATGGGCGCATCGCAAGAGGCCTCTCAATAAGTCTCAGCAACAAATATCGAAGTTACAATCTTCTCGCGAACATACGCCTCTACCCACGGCGATAGCCCGTACTCCCCCACACGTGTCTAGGGATCGGAACGGGCATTGCGCACCGTCTGTCCCGCCGCGCGACCGCCTTCGGGTGATTAAGCCTGATCCTGATGCTCGTCCCGAACACCACGCGCAGCGAACATTACATGGCGAAGCTCAGCGCAGAGCGTCTGCAAATGACATGTTGGTTGATGACTCGTGGCGGAAACGATATTCCCATCTGCCGTCCATGCATAGTAACTCGCGCCCTGTCAGTCCACATGTATGACAAGCCCTTCCCATTGCTCTTGGCTTGTTCTTTAACACGTCTCAGCCTTCAGATAACGGTAGCCCAATTCATATGAGGAATTGCAGTGTGCCATTTCGAGAGCGCTATCTCGACTCGATTCTCCCGGGAGAGCGGTGCAATCCCATCAACCCACCCTTTCCGGGCGCGGCTCACCTGCCAGTGAAAGGTGCGGCTCGATATAGGATATACCTCGCCTGTTCTAACATTGGCCTGTTCCAGCTGCTAGATCTTCCGAACATCATCAGGTCACCCGAAGACCTACAGTCACTAATACTGACATCGATAGTACAGCTCAGCAGCCACAGTCTTCTTCCCTGTCTAACACCGAGGTCGCCGAAAAGGTCGTCGAGTCTTTTAAGACGATTGCAGAGTAAGTAACTCGGTCTTGCTTGTGATAGCTCTGACGTACCGCACCTCAGGACGATGGCAAAGCTTGTGATGCATACGGCAGCATATGAAAAGGAGGAAGAGAAGCTCGAGACGTACCATAAGCTTGCTTCATCATTGAATGACGTGGCCCCTGCGGCAGTAGAAGTCATCGCGCCAGCGCTCAAGCTCGCTATCGCCACTCATGAGCAACAGCACGAGAAGGTGCAGCATGATCATTCCCGGTTAACACACGCCTGGAAAGATGGTGAGATATCTCTTCACCTCCAGTAAGCTAGCACTGACCACGCCCAGCGCTTGCGCTATTTGTGGCCCGCGCGACGGAAACCGTCGAGACTGCAGCTGACAGCGCCGCGACGCGCTTGCGTAATGAGACGGATACGCAGATGGAACGCATCAAAGCCGAAGTAGCCGTGCAGCTGCGGAGGATTGCGCGTACGACGCAGAGCGAACCGACGCTAAATTCTCACGCAAGCAAGACATCACAGTATGACGAAGGTGGCTTACGAAAACGCAAATACGATGCCGAGCGCCATTGGCAGGAGAGGCAGCACGAAAGTCCCGACGTCCGCCACGAACCGGCCAGCAAGCGACTGAAATACGAGGATTACGCGGGTTCGGCGGGACGCAGTCCACCTTGCCGACGCACCACCTGAGTAGTAGTGTTCTGCAAGATCCCACACTCTGCGCGTGGCCGCGGGCTAACGTAAAACGTTGAACTATGACTCTCCCAAGCCCTTCGTACTCACAACTCATTCATGTATTGCATAATATACTATCTTTGAATCTTACATCACGCCATGGAGCAAGCACGGCAGAAGGTGAGCTTCGAATCGGAGACTCTAAGTAACCTGCCCATCATCGAGCGAGCGCCGTCGCCGCCTTGATCCACTTATCGCTCACACCAAATTATGGCAAGCGCGCGGATGAGAGAATGCGGGGGGTTTGGCCGCATGCTCGCATTGGCTTGTAAAACATCGTTGGCTCGTCGCAGACCAACGGACAAGCGCCGCTCCTAGTACGGCCTACTTCAAAGTCAAAGCCCACTTGTCCGTCGATCACTCGTTACCTCGCCGCCGCAGCGATTCTCGTGATGCACTGCGTCCTGGACGCGATAGCACGGGTAGAGAACCGGATTCGATGATCCTGAAGATGACGCTCGTGACTATGGAGGATGTAATCGTTAAAGGAAGTGGATACTGCTCGGGCCGTCAGCCGCTGAAACTATTGGAATGAGGATGAGACGTCATACACAAGGGACGGTCCGACCTCTCGCCGCAAGCTGAGACCACGTTAAAGTTGACACTTGCTGGGGTCTTCGCTGGC